GATAGGGTTGATCCTCTTGTGAACGTCAAGGTCTGAACGGAATTGCAGGCAGTTTGCTTTCGTCACGGGTTGAGATGGATTGCGGCTTTCCGCGCAATTCGCCCTTCGCGAAAGGAAGTACTCGGCGCAAGTAAGTTAGTGATCGTAAGTGCAATTCTAAGGAAAGCAGGGAGGATTGCGCAATCCCTGTCAAGCACAATTCTGAGCCGATGGATTTTAGCACGGACAAGAAAGAAAAACGACAAAAACGAAAAGAGGGCAAGGTTCCATTAAAAATGAGAAACAGGCCACTACAAAAGTCAAAAAATGATACAGAAGGAAGTGAAAGTGGCGATAACAACAGAGGACAAAAAGAAAACAAAAAAAGCGACATAAAGTCTACAAAAACTGAAGTTAAAAAAATTTAAAAAGGCGCTTACTAAAAGGAAGTTCACAGAAACACAACAAAAAGTTGTTAAAAACAAAAGAAAGCATCTGGTAAACGGACAAAGAAGGACACAAAAAATGCCACAATCAAAATTGGACAAAATAAGCGACGAAAATCCACAAAAAAGCTTCAAAAATGGGACACGCAGGACAAAAAAAAAACAAAAAGAAGCGACTACAAAAAGTAACAAAAACACGATAAAAAAATACAAAAAGATCTCGACAAAAAATCGACAAAAGAATGGAATAAAAAGGTGACTACAAAAGTGGCAAAAGAATTAACAAAAAATAACTACAAAAAGTGACAAAATTTTGAGGTCTCGTATTATCAAACCCCGCTGACACTCAACAAACTGTGTAAAAATGCAACAAAAAGACAACGAAATGAGGATACAAAGTTCATAGAAAAGAGAAAAAGAGCAAGTACGAAAAGTGACTAAGAACGGAGGCTAAAAAACGATATTAAAAATGCGACTAAAGAAAGAGGGACAAAAAATGAGACCAAAGAAAGGAATGAAAGTAGCGACAAAAAAGGTCACAAAAACAGAATAAAAAACGATAAAAAAGTGCATAAAAAACAATAAAAAAAGCGACTACAAAAAAGTCATTAAAACCAAAAAACGGTTAAAAAATGCGAGAAAAAGTTACAAAAAAGTGACTAAAAATACGATCGATAAAACGTCATCATAAAAGCGCAACGAAAAGAGAAGAGTCAAAAAATGTTCCAAAAAATTGTCACAAAAAGGGCGACAAAGAGAGACCAAAAAACCGCTGCAACAAGAAGGCGGTAAAAAATTCCAAAAATTAGGACAGAAATGACGACTATAAAAAGTAAAAAAAAGGTCGCAATAATTGTAACAAAAAGGCAATGAAAAGAAGAAAAAAAGTTCATTAAAAATGAGAAAAAATCCACTACAAAAAGAGACTAGAGAATCAAAAAAGTAGCAATTCGTCCGATGGAAAAGGAGACAAAAATGCTACAAAAACAGATTCCAAAAAAATTTAAAAAGGCGTCTACTAGAAGTGTCAAAAAAATGATTAAAGAGAAAAAAATTCACTAAAAAGTTCACAAAAAGCGCAAAAAAGGTGTTGTAAACAAAACAACAGCTACAAAACAGGACAAAAAAGCGACAAAAAATGTGACAAACAAAAGAGGACAAAACAAGCGACAAAAATCTACAAAAAAGCTTCAAAAATGTAACAAAAACACAGGAAAAAAAATCAGTATCAGGAAGCGACTATAAAAAGTGACAAAAACATGATAAAAAAAAATGCAAAAAAAATCTCGATAAAAAGTCGATAAAAGAATGTAACAAAAAAAGTGACTACAAAAGCGGGAAAAGAAACAACAAAAAATAGCTACAAAAAGTGACAAAATTTTGAAGTGACGTCATCATTCGCTTACGCTCGGCAAGTAAAAATGTAGTCACTGTAGAAGTAAAACAAATTTTATCATTCAAGAGAAAAAATAACTGGTCAACTAAAGATTTTTATCCATATACAGGCAAAAAATGCAACACAAGGCAATGGAAAGAGGATAAGAAGTTAATGAAAAATGGGAAAAATGCAACTACCAAAAGTGACTAAAGACACAGATCTAAAAATGATACAAAAATAAATGCGGTTAAAGAAAGAGAATAAAAAATGAGACAAAAGAATGGAGTGAAAGTGGCGACAAAATAAGGTCACAAAAGTAGAGTAACAAATGACAAAAGAGTCCACAAAGAACAGTAAAAAAGGCGACTACAAAACTGTCATTAAAACCAAAAAACGCTTACAAAATGCGAGAAAAACTTAACAAAAATGAGAAAAAGAAATATGTAGGTCAAAAAAGCGACAAGAAGTCTAAAAAAGTACAAAAAGTGATAAAACAAACAACAATAAAAGATGACTACAAAAGTGGCAAAAGAAATGCAAAAAAATGGCTACAAAAAGAGACAAAAATCACAAAAATGAAAATAAAACGAATACAGTAGTTGGAAGAAGTTAAAATCAAAATTGGTCATTGTAGTAGAAGCAAATAAAGTAAATTTTATCACTCAAGAGGCAAATTTACTAAAAAATAATTGGTCGACTAGGAAAATCGAGGTCAATATACAGGCTGTGCCAAAGAGTTAATTTTTATCGTGGACTATTAAAAAACTTTTTTAAACCAGTCTGATAAAATTCATGTAAAGTTAGAATTCATTTTGTTTCTAAATATACCGGGTATCTGGAAAACGGCGGATTAACTCTCCGCTACGCTCTTAACAATCAACTGGTGAGTCTGGGAAAAATAGTAAAAAAAATCCTTCTCTCATTTTGATGGAGTTATAATGATTCTAAAATTGGTTATTTTGCTACGTTAAACCACTAAACAACACATTCATTATCACAATAATTAGTAATAAACCTTTTATTTAATATTTCTCTCGCCCATGACCATGTTTAATTATCAATTCAGTTAGAATGTACAAAGAGACGGTTGTGTTGTTCTTGTAATAATTTGATAAAATTCCATTTAACAATAATGTTTCCCTGATAATAGAGCGAAGGTATAAATCAGCAAAAATCGAGTAAGCAGTAAAAAATCTTCGACGTATCGAAAATTGCCAAAGTTTTCAAAGTTTTTTTTTAATTCGGGAGACTCTTAGGTACCCGTGGTGTATTATTTTGGGAGCCCATGGAGATTTTTTTGTAAATTATTTAAAACAATTTTGGGGACTTCGGTGTTCTGTTATCGAAAAATTCTGACCTGACTTGTTTTCGAGTTCATTTTGGAACGTTTTTTTTTTTAAGAATTTAACAATTTTGACGTTCTAGGTATTCTCGTTTGGAAAGAATTTGAAAATGCTTTGGAGGCTCTAGTGTATTTTCTTATAATAATTTAATAAAATTTCTTAGAGGATATGTCATTTGCTTAAATCAGTTTTATCTTAGCAGGTCCTAGGCCCGCCCACCTACCCTCTCTTTTCTTAGAAAGTATCTCATTTGCCAAGATCAGTTTTATCTTAGCAGGTACTAGCCCCGCCCACCCACCCTCTCTTCTCTTAGAGGATATTTCATTCGCCAAAATCAGTGTTATCTTAGCAAGTACTAGCCCCGCCCACCCACCCTCTCTTTTCTTAGAAGGTATATCATTTGTCAAAATTAGTCTTGTTTTAGCAGATATTAGCCCCGCTTACCCACCCTCTCTTTTCTTAGAGGATATGTCATTTGCCAAAATCTGTTTTATCTTAGCATGTACTAGCTAAAATTGTTGTATTTAAAAATTCCAAAGTAGTTTCCCCACTAATGGAAATATGTACAATTGTACATGTTCGAACTTTTTGAGTAGTTTTTTTAAATTTTTTGGAGGGACATCTTTTTTGGTACGGAATTTGTTAGTTTATCCAACAATAATTGAAGAAAAGCTTCCGTAGAGATAAGCTCGAAAATGTCATAAAAAAAGTTTTGTAACTTTCAAACAAAACACGTGTACCTATATAATTTTCAATTGTATTCAGCTCTAAATGAGTTCTTTTAAACTACAACAGAGAATGTTTTCACTAATTCACAGGGATGTAAAATCTTCCATTACCCTATTTTTGGGACACCCTGTATTTAAAAAAAACGTGGCTATTTGTTTGTTTTCTGACAAGAAGAAATAACAAAGTAGTTTTTTATCTAAAAAGATTCTAATTTTGGCAGTGTTTGAAAAGGGGACTAGAGTGTGAAATATCGAGCTCTGGAATAGAACCCCAGGCGTTTAAATATTTATTCTAAAAAATTCCCTCGTAGATAACGTTGCTTAATACTTGTCATGTGCTTTTCTGTACAGAGGTAAGACAAATGTAGGTGAATTAAAAAATTAGCTAAGTAACTCGGCCTTGGACTCTGGAACTAAGTCAGAGAAAAAGTACTGTTAAGAACACAGAGAAGGTAGAGTTAGGTGGAAAAATACCCACACCTGTCATTAAATCCAGTCATAACTTCTCAGAATTCAAAAGCAAGACAAGAAGATATTAAAATCGAAACTTGATTCTGAATTGATAAATTTGTGACAACCGAAATCACAGACTTTCAAAATCAGTAAAGTTCGAAATAGTTGAAGAAGTGAAATCGATTAGACTGTTTCGAAGTAGGCGAAATTACTTAAAATTTCTAGTACTTGCCAGAAATTGTTGTTGATCACACAAACACAAAAGATTAAAGTTAATTTGAAAGAGAAAAGAAAGGACGAATTAAGGCAAATTTGTATATTAGGGAAGCTTTCTCAAAAATGATGCAAACGTTGCTCTGAGACAAAATACTCGATAAAAGGATATGGTGACCGACCATAAAAAAGTAGGACAGTGGGTGACACTCCATTAGGACACCACAGAAAAGTAAACAACGCAAAACTCTCCACATCAGTTAATACAACCGTGTCTATTCGGAAAACCATCTTTTGGTAACTATCGTCCCTATCGTCCAGAAGTCAAGGGCGTCTTCTCAGAAACCTGTCCGCTGATAACCAACACCATCACCCATTTTCCGGGTGGCCCCTGTTCCTCGCCGCATTCCTCCGCACCATTTCATCATTAGTCTTTTATAACCGCGCCACAATTACCGAACTCTGGATGCAGTGTTCGCGTTATGTCAGCACACATTATCAGCTTTTGGTAGAAACCAAAAGTGTTTCCCTCCCTAGCGCCAACTTTCATTTGTCCGTCGAAGAATGGTCTGCAGTTCGTTGCACGCAACGTCTTAGCACCTGAGTGTGACCAATAATACGATAGAAAGGCATCTTGTTCACTTTCTATCGCCTCGCGTCGAAAGCAGCAGTCGTATCCAAGAAACCACCAAATCGCGTCTCCTATCGTCGAGAGGGTGCGTCAACCCTCATCAAACATTCACGAGCATCGACAAGTGACGCAGCACCGCTCCTTGACTCGCTCCTCAGTTTTCCGCCAGTTCCTCAACATGTTGTGACCTAGACGGAGTGTTCTGGAAATCGCGTCTTCGACATGTCGGCGAGTGCGGAGGACTCTGGCTCGGCCAACAGCGACAAGCTCAAGAGGATGTTCAGCTGGAGCAACAATGCCCTAAGGTGCGTATTGTGCGTTGCGTCACAAGGCCGCGGATTCTGAAAGCTGAAATGTGAAAGTTTCAGTTTCACAAAAATCGCTTGGGCGCTACGCGAACGACGAGGGGTCGCGAGCGGAGCCCTGAGGCGGTCGGACTTTGCGCGAAACGCACGCGCTCGCTCGAGGACGATTATTGTTACTTAATTCGAAAACGAAAGTGGAGACGAAAAAGGTGCGATACTTTGCGGCAAGACATGCATTCAAATTCCTAGGTTAAGTGGAAGTCAATGAAAAATGCAAGTAGAAACTGGAAACTGATAATGAAACCAGTGGCGAACGACTGGACTTAATTACGGGAAAAATATGAAATAACCGAACAGGTTTGAGTGAAATAAAAATTAATGAGAAGAAAGTTAGATAATATGGAAAAGCAAGATCGCGAGGAAAACGAGTGTTATGTAAAGTGGTTTGGTTCACCGGTTTGGTGGGATGTGTGAGATAAATCATCGATTTCAAGATTTATACACCAACTAATTTTGCATTGTTCTTCCACCTTGAACAGCACGTGTTCATGTAGTGATTAATTGGATCACTTTCTCATTTGCTAATTACCACAAAGTTACCGTAAAAGTGGCCATTTCTGCGAAGAACGACTATTATACGCTTGTTCGTTGCATCCACCACCACCCAACCAAGTAGGTTAGTTTATCACTGTATCAACGATAAGCTATCTCTATAATTCTGTGCTCTACTATACACCTGATTATGTCAGTTAGTGTTGATATTTGTCGAAAATTAATCTTCGATTTATTATTAGATAATAATAGAGAAAAGCTCCAATTCTGGTGCTACGTTTCAATTATGGCTACAGCACGTAATTAATTAAGGAAATGTGATTCATTAAATCTATTGGTAAATCCAGTCGTTCTCTAAGGAAAACTTTCTACTTAATTGTGAACAGACTCTTGGAGGTGGTTAAAATATCGTGGTCATTTTTTAGATTTTTCCACAAGGTTATTATATGATTATGAATACGAAAACGCCAGTAGTGGTTTTAACTATCCAGCGGTTATTTTCCGACCAAAAAAAGGAGATAACAAAACGATGAAATCCACGCTTCCTACTTGTTTACGTTGTCGGAAACTTGTTTATAAACCAATCCCCTCTAGAATAAATTATCATTGTTAAATTAAAGAGCTCGGAATTTTGAAAATTTACAACGCCAACTTATGGCCATGAAGCGGTAGCAATAAAGTTGAAATGGTCTTTGTACTTTATTCAAAACATTTGTAATTGTGGCGGTCTTGCAATAACGGATTTCTCTATTACATATGAGATGTTGAAATTTTGACATATTTTAAGTGTTATATTGACGAATTATGCAACGAGTGCTTCTTGAAATTTTAGTGAATCATTTTCTTTGAGATGGAATAACAATCTTTTCATTTAGTGTCAATGATTACATTTGTTGTGTGATTTCTGTTTGATTCTGGTTGTTTCTATACCTAGACATTTTTTTTATTTTTGTGCTTGTTTTACGTTTAGTTATGTACATTTATAGCCAAAAAAACAAAACTGGTAAATGCAGTCAGGTGACTTTTAACATTTTTTAGTGACAGGAAACGTTATTTCATCATTATTTGCCAATTATTTTGCAAGTATGTAGCAAATATGATTGACTCACCATTGTGATGTCTCCATAAAGTGTTTATAAGAAGTAATCGTCACGTTTGTTTTACGTGTGTTTGTCCATCCGTTCTTCAGCGACGCATAAAAATGCTTTCAATATTTGTTTTTTAAGTTCTTACGCACTATGTAACAATATATTAAAAGATGGATAAAAATCTGAGACAATTTTTTAAAATTACCCGATAATTAGTCATCAGTTAAGAATGCACTGGAATGTCGCCAATTTTCATAAATATCTGTTTTTAACTCGAAATTGTATTTTAATGTCGTCATTACGACACTAATGGTGGAACAGGTTACAAAAATTGGTCGAAGTTTTTTTCGATAGAACTTCTCTGACGTTTGAAGTGCAAGTCAACAAGTCCCGCTTTTTTGAAAGATCATAAAATTAGATTTTACGATGTTTTTTTTAACAATTATTAACAATTGCTTGCAAAATATGAATCCAGTGATAAAGGGCAAGGTTATGTTTGTATTTCCAGCGATTTTCCCATTTGAAAATGTTCCGGTCAACATTATCAAGCAAGAACACGCATGTCAATTCCGACACGTGCAGTCTAGTACACTGGGGTATACCCTTCTTGATTTAATCATGCAGAAGTTAAAAAATCACTTCTGTAATAATAGTAACTATAAAAATAAAGATTGTCACATTCATGCCATTGATATAGAAAGTGTTCAGATATGCCTTGGTTTATGGAAAATTCTCGGTGACCCATGGTTAACTTTTTATAAATTCATTACCACATCATTTGCTCGTTATATTTTACACAAACCGAAGGAATATGGTGTAATATATTCATTTCAATGAAATCAGTAGACTATAACAATTTCCAAATGTTAATACGATTAATAAAAAAATTTGTGGCTTATGTTAGTATCCAGTAGAAACGGGGAATTTCTCTTACTCACAAATTTAATACAATAATCAATATTCTTCTTAATAATCGTCTCATTAGCGAACAGTGTTAGAAAATTTTACTTTGCTCAAAAATGTTTATTTATATTCCCCGAGCGTAAGCTAAGGAAGTATAGTAATCTTTTATATTTTCCCGACGTTTCCTGACCCTTAGAGTACGAAAAAGTAGTCTCTCGTTTGCGTCTGTCTGTCTGTCTAGTGTCTGTATCCATTTTTATTAATCGAAATCACCTAACTGCTGGACTGATTGTGGTCAAATTTTGTATGTATTTTAGAAATATCATGTAGATGGTTAAATACTAACCAAAATTTTGCTAATCATCCCCACTGACAAATTGATGACGTCATTTCAAAGAATTCTATGTTTATTTGATTTAATTGTTACACAACAATATAGTCCTAAAGTGTGTTGTCCGAATCCGCTTTGAGTTTTTCCCTAACCGTCAAAATGTTTCCAAAAACATAATGTATAACAGTTTACCATCAGCGTCAGGGATCGCGGTCGTGGTTTAGTGGTTACGAGTCAGGAATGCGAACCGGACGTCGCGCGTTCGATTCCAAACTGGCCTTTCGTTTTTCTTTCATTTTCTTTAACATTGTGTATTGTCTATGTTTATAACGTCATATCAAATTTTTTATTGATGAAATTACCCCACTTCTCGAAACGGTGAGAATACGCCCCTCTTTATTTAAAAATGTAAAACCTTCTCGGGGGCGTCAAATGTCTGTTTTAAAATTGTAAAACCTTCTCGGGGGTGCCAATTGTCTTTTATTTTAATGTGAAATCTTCTCGGGCGTCTCTTTTTTTAAGAATATCAAACCTTCTCGGGGACCCCAAATGTATGTTTTTAAGAATGTGAAACCTTCTCGAGGGTCCCATCTGTCTTTTTTAAAAATTTAAAACCTTCTCAGGGCGCCAAATGTGTTTTTTTATGTGAAACCTTCTTGGGGGTCCCAAATATCTTTTCAAAAATGTAAAACCTTCTCGGGGGCCCCAACTGTCTTTTTAAAAAATGAAAAACCTTCTCGAGGGGCCCTAAATGTATTTTTTACGAATGTGAAACCATCTCAGGGGTCCCAACTGTCTTTTTTTAATGTAAAACCTTCTCGGGGGTCCCAACTGTCTTCTTTAAAAATGTGAAACCTTCTCGGAGGTCCCAACCATCTTTTTTAAAAAGGTAAACCTTCTCAGGGCCGTCAAATGTCTTTTTTATGTGAAACCTTCTCGAAGGTTCCAATTATCCTTTTTAAAAATGTAAAACCTTCTCGGGGGGGCCAAATGTATTTTTTAAAAATGTCAAGTTTTCTCGGGGGTTCCAACTGTTTTTTTTTAATGTAAAGCCTTCTCGGGGGTTCCGACTGTTTTTTTTTAATGTAAAGCCTTCTGGGGGGCCCCAAATGTCTTTTTTTCATTGTGAAACCTTTTCGGGGGTTCCGACTGTCTTTTTAAAAATGTAAAATAATAATAATAATAATAAATCTTTATTTGTGCTAATAAAAAATTTTACACACGTCAGAAGAAGCTAGTAAATACATCGAACATAATTTTATAAAAACAAATAACAATTTTTAAAAGAAACAAATTAGAATTAACTCTATACCTAAATATATATGATCTACTATATAATAAATTAAGCACCACTCGATAGTAACACCAGGTCTTTAAAATTATTATTTAGGTATTCATCTAATGAATAAAATGCCCTTCGTATCAAATATTGTTTCACATTTTTTAGAAAATCATGACTGTTGTATCTACGTACTTCGTCAGGCAAAATGTTCAAAAATTTTATGCAAAAATAATTAATGGCATCCCTCGACTTAGTGAGACGCAAGTTTCTGAAACAAATATCCTCGTGTCTAGTCCTGTAGTTGTGATAGAGGTTGACTTTGGGATATAATTCTGTATGCCGAGTAATAAATTCCAAACATCGATAAATATAAAGCGAAGGAAGTGTAAGTATTTTTAGTGACTTGAAGTAGGTACTCTCTACAATCTTCTCTGTATCCTATATTAGCTATTATTCTGATTGATCTTCGTTGTAGTTGAAAGAGTCGTGATAAAGATGATGAGTGCCCCTAGACTAAAATGGAATAATTGAGAAGAGAGTGTATCAGAGCATAATAGGCCATACATAAACAGTTTAAAGAAAGATTATTAGCCAAATTTCTTAAAAGGAAGGTATTTTTTGAAATTTTATCTGACATATAATTACCGTGCTGACACCAAGTAAGTTCCTTATCGATAATGACTCCTAAGTACTTTGTATATTCCGCACATTCAATGGAACATTCGCAGGGTCTTAATGTGAAGAGCATTGAGACACATTTTGTTTTATTTAAATGGAGTCTATTTGCACTGAATCACTCTGCGGCTTTCTTCATAGAATTTTGATTGGCGTTGAAGGCAAGGTC